TTGTCCGTATTGAAACGCATCCTGTTCCTGTCTGCCCACCCCTGTAACCTATCCAGATCCTTCTGCAATCTCTCTCTCCCTGCTAGCGTGCTCACCTCCCCCCAAATTTTGGTGTCATCAGCGAATTTAAACAGGTTGCTCTCCACCCCAACATGCCACAGTCGCCTAGTTTATTAATTAGGATGGGGTGAGAGACGGTGTCAAAGGCCTTGCTGAAGTCCAGAAAGACTACATCCACCGCGACACCTGTATCCATGGCCTTTGTGACCTGATCATAAAAGGCAATCAGGTTGGTCTGACATGATCTCCCCCTAATAAATCCATGCTGATTGCCCCTGAGCATCATCTCGGATGCCGGCCCATCACAAATGTGCTCCTTGATGATCTTCTCAAAGAGCTTCCCCAGGATTGAGGTAAGACTGACGGGCCTATAATTGCCCGGGTCTTCCCTTTTCCCTCTTCCTTATGACCAGCCTGAAACGGTCTTGCAGTAGTTTATAACCGTTCGACCTCATCATCCCTTGGGGCGCTCTGGTGAACAAACGTTCCCCCAGATACTGGTGGCCACCCCTGATAAACTTATAGGTAGCCATCAGATTACCCCAGAGCCTGCCCTTTTCCAGGCTAAAGAGCCCCATAGCTCTCAGCCTGTCATCGTAAGGTCTGTTTTCCTGACCTCTGATCATGCACGTGGCACTTCTCTGGACTCTCTCAAGCTTCTCCACATCCTTTTTGAATTGTGGGGCCCAAAACTGGACACAGTACTCCAGCTGTGGCCTCATCAAGGCTGAGTACAAGGGGAGAATGATGTCCCAGGATTTGCTTGAGAAGCATCCATGGATGCCATTCTCAAACTGATGGAGTAGACATGTGCTTCAAGAGGACCCTGAAGAGTATGTTGAAAAGGTTTGTAGCTGAAGAACCTCAACAGTGGGAACAAATGATGTAATCCTTATTGTTTGCCATTAGAGAAGCCCCACAAGCTTTGCTGGGGTTTTCACCTTCCACACTTTTAAATGGTCATCGACCCTGTAGCATCTTACAGTTGATGAAGGAAGGTTGGGAAAAATAACTACACCAGACTAAGAACTCAGTGAAAGACATTCTTCAACTAAGGGGAAAACTGAATAAGGTGTGGGCTTGTCCATAAAGGCAGTGTGGGGGAAGCACAAGCCCGCCAAGAAGCCCAGTATAACAAGAAAGTCCATGAAAGTAAATTTGAGGTTGGACATTGGGTCCTCCTATTGCTTCTGGACAATTAATTAATATTTTTGGCAAGATGGCAAGGGCCCAATGAGGTAACACACAAAGTGAGCCCAGTGGATTATGAAGTTTATCAGCCCAACAAGTGAAAAATGAGGCAGTCTAGCATATAAATTTGTTGAAGCCCTGGCAAGAGATAGGCATTATGGATTGCCCCCTATCCAGATGAGCCCAAGCAGGGACCCTTCATGCAAGACTGGGAGAAGTGGATGAAAGAAGTTGAATTAGGATCTCAGCTGACTGAAAAGCAATGGGTACAAGCAGCTAAATCAGTGAAAAAATGTCCAGATGTGTTTCAGGAAGCCTCAGGGGAAGCCAAAGGTGCCATGCATAGCATTGGGATGCCCACAGGCTAGGTAGTTCAGGAGTCCTGGAGAAGAATCCTGGGCAGCTCCAAGGCAAGGAAAAACTGAAATGGAAACCATGTTGAGAAGGGGCATAATCCAAGAATCCCATTGTGAAAGGCAAAGCCCAATAGTAATCATACCAAAACCGGATGGGGATATTCACCTTTGTATAGATTTTAGAAAAGTGAATGCACTGGTGAAATTTACTGCTTACCCCATGCCCATGATTAATAAGATGGTAGAAAGAATAGGATAGGCCTGCTATATATCAACATTAGACCTGACAAAGGGCTACTGGAAGGTGCCTTTGGCACTAGAAGACCAAAAGTTTTGGACTACAAGTAGTGGCGGGAGAGATCAAAATTTTAGGGTTCCCAGTTGAGGCATAAGGGAAATGACATAAAGCGTGGGAAAAGGTGACAGCGAGGGTATGACAAGTATTATGGTTGTGGGTGATTGTCCTTTGCTAGAAAAGTGGCAGCAGTTAAGGCAGTGCTACTGCTGATCATTCTGGACACTAGAATTGTGTTTTACATGTCATGGTGGCGGTTAGTGAAAGGACAAAGGGAAATACATGTGTTCTTTTTGGAAAGCAAAAAAATAAAGTCTAGCCAGAACAGAACTGTATAAAGCAAGAGAGATGGGAGTGGGACCTACCTAAATTGCAGCAGTTTGCAACGGAGCAGCACCTTTAATTTTGCTCTTTTTGCCATGCACCCTGCCCAGCACTGTGTGACCAAGAGGCAAAAACCATGTCATTATCTGTCTGCCACTCAGTGGCCGGGTGGGGGCACATGGTGAAAAGTGCAACATTAAAGGTGCCACTGCGCTGCAAGCTTCTGCTGTGATTTAGATAGGGTCCCTGGATGGGGAGTGCCAGACAGTTTGTGTGTTTACACAACCCTATGTGAGTGCAGTTTGTAAAGCAGCAACAGAGGGGGAAGGGAAAGCAGCATGTGTTAGCCAATTTTTTGCAGGTACAATCTGGAGGTGGTAATGGGGGACTGCAGTTATGTTTTCCCCCTGGCTTGCTCCTTTGCCTTTTTGCTAGGAATAAGTAAGACTAGTGGGTATCTGAAACCAAGGGCTTCCAGATATGGGACTTGCACATAGGATGCCTGTCACAGATTTAAAGAGTATCCATAGCCCAAGACTGATGAGTCTGAGAGGGAGGATATTTGTCCAGTAGAGCCACACAGACTTGAAAAATTGATCTCTGCTCAGTTGAATTTGGAACTTAACTATTGGATCCAACTGAATTTTGGAACTGATTTGGCTGATTTGGCCCTTGGAATGAAATACACATATAAAAATAAATGTTGTGGCAATGGGGGACTGCTCTTATGCTTTTCTCCTAGCTGCTTCTCAGCCTTTTGGCTAGGAGCAAGCAAGACTAGGGGGCACCTGAACTCCAAGGCTTCCAGGCCTGGAGCTTGCACGTAGAAGCTGCTAAAAAATAAAAAAGCTTCCATCAGTTTGTTTGCCCGGTATGGGCCATTTGTTTTATACTAAAGCTTAGTGTTGACTGCATTTAATCAACTTCATGGTTGGTTTCCATTACTGAGCACATGCTGCTTTTGGCAGCAGCTTAGTGATAGACAATGTATCTAATGAGGCTTCCTTTTATGCAAATATAAGATGAGGCAATTTTCCCCTCGTGCTGATTGGGATAAAAAACCTTGTCTTGTATTCAAGTAAATATGGTAGGTAACTGGGAACAGTATTGAAGAGCCCATCTGTGGGATGGAAGTTTTACATGCTGTCTGTGGTTATTTTAACATAAATAATTCATTTTTACTGTTGTTCTTTTGCTATTGCCACTTACTCTTTCTGTTCACCCCTTCTGAAGGCAGAATTTCCTTTGACTGCTTGAGTAAGGACTGCAGGATATGATCGGATATGTTAGCTATTGCAATTAAGTCAGTTAGGCCCAGTGTGATTTTTAAAATGAGCTCTTTTCATACTGCGGGTTTCTTCCTATTCTGTAAACGGAATTTGAAGACAACAGGATGGGAGGAGAGACGCTGAGAGAGAGACAAGATTCTGTCTCTTCCACGAAAGCTGAATAGGAAAGAACAGAAACCTATTAATCCACTGCAGTTTACCTTGGCAGGCTGGCATTAGTAATCTATGTGCATGTATCAGAATACATGACTTCAGGAAAAATCTGGTAACTCCCTCTCTCATTTTCTTTTTAATTAAGGCCACTCTGTCTCTTACAAGGAGAGATTTATCAGAGATCAGATATGTGCAAAACTGAGACAGTGCAGCCATAAGAACTTCTCTAAAAATCTTGTTGGGTTTGGCCATACTTACAGCGTGCTTTGAACCATATCCTGCTCCTTCCGTGGGATGAGGATTAGACATTTGATGTTTTGATTCTATGTTCCAGAGTTGTAAAGTCTACACCAGGGGTTGTCAATCGGGGGTACGCATACCCCTGGGGGTACTTTGAAAGGTTCCATGGGTACATGCGGGTGGGCGGGGACAGAGTGCCACTGCCTCACAGGAGCAGGACTGGGGCAGGGCAAGAGCAGCAGCGCGCCTCTGCAGGCCGGACATAGGGAAGAAGCTTGCATGCAGCGGCTGCTGCTGCCATCCACCACCCCGTGCCACTGCTCCATGTGCAGGTGCCCCCCACACCCCCACTCCATGACCAGCTGCTGCTACCCCCACTGCAGCTCCTTAACCAGCCGCCAAGGGTACATTGCTCAAAAAAGGTTGAAAACTGAATTAAAGTACTAGAAAACTAATTAAGGTACTAGACCAGTGGTGCTCGGCTTTTCCAGTGCACAAGCTGGATGAGTGGGACACAGCCAGACTGTGGGATAGATCCAATATGTGGGTCCAGGTCTGCACACCAGGTCCAGGACTCCATGCTGGGTCTAGGACCAGGTGCCAGGTCTGTGGACTGGCTCTGCATGCTGGCCTAATCCAGCATGTGGGGCCATGTCATAGGACACCTAATGGGTCAAAAATCTGGTGGCGGGAGAGGGGTGGCAGGGTTAATTGCCACAGAGCTTCCAGAGCTGTGACAATTAACACTGGCACCAATCCCCTGCTGGCAAATTTCTGGACCCTTTGGGAGCCCTATGGGCTGCATGACTCAGTTCTGTGGGCCGGATCTGGCCTGTAGGCTGTACTTGGAGCACCACAGTATTGGACTGCTTTCTGTCTGTGAATCATACTGGAAATTCAAATCATGTTTCTCTGTTACCTACTCAATTGTGGGTTGCTTTTTTTTAACCAGCAGCTTTTATTGTATCATGACATCAACAAATATGTAAGGTATTCACCAAAATCTGAATTAAGCAGAGTGTATGCCCGTGTTCTTGCTTCCTAACTAATTATATCCCACCCAAATAAGTGAGATTTGGTTTTATTTTACAGGGTGATCCAGGTCTTTCTGTTTCCATTGGTCCAAAGGTTGGTTGTTTCTTTATAACAAGTTCATGTTATGTACAGTTTATCAGAATTTTATACCTATTACAAGTTTTTTCAAAGCAGTTGAAAAAAAGTCAAGAAAAAGTATCTTAACAAAATGAAATGTCCCTATTTTTTATATTTTTGCACGGAGTTTAGGAATAAGTAGACCTGAGTCCTATTCCCAGCTCTGGTTTCCAAGCTGTTGTGTCAGGATCAGGTGACTTGTTTGGTGCAGACTTTAGAACTATACCGCCTCACTTTCCTATCTATAAAATGAGCATAGTATGTAACTCCTGGATATGTTATGGAGCCTAATGTATTTGTATTTGAACAGTGTTTGGAAGGAAGGAGCTTAGAAGTCCCAAAGAGTATTATTCTGCAGCCTCATTAAGTCAATGATTTTGATTCAAACAAATTATATTTTATATGGACAAGTAGATGTGCTAACTTCATGTTGTGTCATGTTGTGCCATTTCCTTTTGCTTTAGGGAGATGCTGGAGATACTGGAGCACCAGGTCTAAAAGGTGAAGCAGGTGCTGATGGACAGCCTGGGAAACCCGGACCACCAGGACTCCCGGGACCCCCTGGCCCAGGCTATGGCTTTGGATTTGAGGTAACTGTCCTATAAGGATGATTAATTGTATGTACAAGGCTATTAGCTTCAAAGGGAGGACAACATGATTGTTACTTGTTGATTCTGAAGATAGAGATGATAATTCATGTTAGTCAGAAATAAGCAGGCAGAAGGTAGTGCAGGTGGCCTCTTGGGGACTATAGAGATTCAAGGCATGCTTTTTGTAGGCAAGAACCTAGTTCATCAGCTATCACTAGCACTCTGGTTTTGTGAGGGGGTGGTTCACAAAGGCTTTAAGACTAGATTAGACAAACATTTTTCTAGGATGGTTTATACAGAAGTGATACTGCCTTGAACAGGGGGTTAGCTTCTGAGGTCCCTTCCAGCTCTACTTTTTATGTTTCTTATTTAAGATGAATTTGATCACAAAAAGATTCCTTTAGCTTTACACTAAAAATTGCTTGTGACATTTTTGTTTAGGTTTAATTTATTTCTTCCCAGCCTCCAGGTAAACGGCTTACTATTATTTTTCTGAGTGGAATTTGGCCATATATTTGATTACAATATGTTGGTAGTTTATTTCTCTAAGTAACATGCATATGAAAGTTTAGTGATCAGATTGTCCTCCAGAATTGTACAGACATCTCCACCTTCCTATAATGGGGTCACATTCACATCCAGAGAGGATAACAGAATCATAGAAAAGTAGGACTACAAGGGACCTCCAGAGGCCATCTAGTTCAATTCCCTGCTTGAGACAGGACCTTTCCTATCTAAACCATCTCATAAAAGGCCTTACCTAACAATTTTTCAAGTTCTGAGCGGCCAAAGACCACAGGCCTCTGGATTGTACACCATGCTATTTGTCCCTCCTCACTGCACTACATGGACACTTGCCATTTGAGGAGCAACTCCAGCTGCACTGTACTGGCACCTCCTTTTTGCACAGGGTCTCCCTAAGGCCCTCAGCCCTGCTGGCTACCCTTCCTTGCCCTCAGGGGAGGGGACAAGCAGCAGAAGCTGGAGGAGGGAGGGAGAGCCTGGAGACTACAGCAGCAACACAGGAGAGCAGTGTGAAGAGAATGGCAGTCAGCCCAGGAGCCCAAGGGCTGCAGGTTAAATTCTCAGGGGCCACATGCAATCCATTAGCTTCCAATAAGACAGTCCTGGTATAATCTGTTCCTAAAACTACACAATCAGTCCTGTTGTACAGATACAAGACACCATGCCCGAATCAGAGAGAGATATTTAGCTGTCTTAGTTTAAAGTCAGATAGAAGGCAGGGTAAAGATGCACCTTATAGACCAACTAAATCAAGATTCAAAAGATTTTGTAAGCAACAGCTTATTTCAGCTTGATGGGAAGGGCCTGCAGGGAGTAGTGCTTCTAAATGAAAAGCAGTGTTTAACTACAAAGGATAGGGAATGGTGGGGTCCCAGTAGTGGCCGTGACACCCTCTGGTGGTTCTGTAACCTGTGCCCTGCTCTGCCTCTAGGGTACCCTCCCCTCCTTCTTTCCTGCCATGCCTTGATGTTCTTATTGTACTGCAAGGGAAGTTGCCTCAATAGTCCTAAAGCGAGCCTTACTCTGTCTAATAGCCAGCAGGTCCCTCCTGAACAGCCCTGGCCTCAGTCCTGCCCTTAGGCTGTATAGGCATTTTCAGCCTGCCTACGGCACCTATAAGCCTTAAGGGCTAATTACATGTCTGTGCCCCTCCAGAACACCTGTAGCCTTAAGGCCTCATTGCATGGCTCCATCCTCCCCTACACCATGCTCCATGCTTTGCAGGTGTCACTGTACTGTCCCTCTCCTGTTAGGACTTCGGCCTTTTCAATGTCCACCCCTTTTTTCTCACTAGGCCTTCTAGCCCAGGCCCATTGTATTGGACCTGGCATCTAGGCACCAGCTCTAGTCTTGCCCAGGCTCTGGGCCCTTGGCCCCTGTCTCAAGTGCTGAACCCTCTAGCTGCAAGTTCTGCCCTGTTCTTGGGTCCTCTTGCTTGCTCTGCCTTGAGCCTCTCCTCAGCAGGGCTCAAGGCAACCATTTGCCCCTAGGGCACTAATGGGACCTCCAAAGACCACCCCTCACATTCCCAACCCAAATCATCAGTATAACTTAATCAAATAGTAAGCCCTCTGGCTACAAAATGAATCTTCCCTTCTGGGCAAAGAAATATTATGAAAGCAAAAGTATGCTGCCACTTTAAGAAGAAAACCTCCTTACCCTCAGAGCAGCCCATACTCTGGGGGCCGCCTCCATTCTGGGCTCTCACTCCTCCACTCTGGTTCAGGGTCCCTCAGATAACTCTTCCCCTCTGGGGAGCTTCTCTCCTTGGCAGAAGCAGGGCCAGACTGCTTCAGCTGTATTCTCCATAGTGACACTCAGTAGCTGCATTCCTCCTGCTGAGATGGTGTTCTTCCAGCAGCCACCAGGATCTTCCTGCTGGCTCCACTCAGGGCCTGTGCTTATATGCAGTCTAAGCCCAGCCCGTTCCCTAGTCATGTGGCCCCTGATTGCCTCTGGCCATACCTGCCACCTGTTTCTCTGCCCACCTGCCAGCCCTTAAATTAGGAGGAACACCAAGTGTCCTGCTACAGGAGAAAAAGTGACAAAATTCAGTTAACTCAGGGTTAATCTCATATTGCATTTGCATTTTGGTCTTGTACTAAGTGAAATAGAATTCTGCTTTTAGTGTTCAGAGCTGTTATACTATAGGCTAAAACTCCTGTGGCACTAATATCATAGTGGCTTTAGTATTTTATTTTTGTGTGTAAATAATTTATAATCTGGGCTTAAATATGCAGCAATACCTGCCAGGGGGTATGTCTCCACAAGATATTAATGCAACTTGCACCAGAGTTTATTGCTCTTTGGTGCAGTGTTTACGTGTGCCTAGGACTGCAGCATGTTGAGCCAGGGCGGCACAGCCCTGGTGGGTCAGTTTACCAGCCCAGATCTGTTCCCTTCTGGCTCAGCATTCTGGAGAGGAGCTAGCCAGCAGGCAGCCCCCGCACTGTAGTACCCTCATGTCCCAGCCAGCCCCTTCACAGTGTACACGTGCATTTTGCCACACGTAACTACTCTGCTGTAGGACAGTACTTGTGTTAGGGAGTACTATCCTACAGTGGAGTTAATTAGTTTACTGCAGCCTAATAGCACTGCACATGTAGATGATGATTCTTTACTGTGGAGCTAATTTTAGTTAGCTCTGAAGTAAAGCATCATATGCAGATGCACCCAGGATGCTTTAACAGTGAATTGCAGGTTCTGTGTTAGATGCCAGTTTTCATATACTGTCATCCTAGATACAAAATGCAGCAACTCCATCGTGAACTCATGCTTTGTAAGATTCAATAGGAATCATCTCTTATTAAAAAAAAAAAACAAATTTCGATCCATTACACTTTATTGAGGCATAAAGAGCAACTTCCATTTTAAAATTTGAGTTTGGCTCACCTTAGGTTCAATTTCACCCTTCATTTGAAAATGTTTTATTGCAGTTGTATCTCAGAACACTGCAGTTTACCTTGTGCTGCCCTGCTGGCAAGCATAAATGAGAAAATCAGGGTTTACACATTCTTATTTCTGCTAACCAGAGTAGTCATTTAGCTTATATATGTGGGTTTTCCTCTCTCTCTGTACTTATTTATGCAATGTTCATCTCTTCTTTCGCTTTTTCATTCAGGAGATGTTTTCAAACTGTGGTGCTATTTTCTTTTAACCTCATAGAATGTAATGTAGCACAGCACAGTAACAAAGAAGAATATTATATGAGAAATAAACAATGTTTGCTTGAAACTGGTGGCCACAATGGGTGTGTCCACACATGCAGGCACATGCACTTGCAGCAGCTCAAATAGAAGCAGTGCAAATTTGAGCCAGGGCTTTTTGCTTCAGTGCACATGCCCAGACATGCACTTTGGTGTGGAGCAAATTGTGCCACTTGGGGCAAAATAACCCTGCCTGGCTCCTCCTGGATCTGCAGCCAGAGGGAGCTAGAGGCTGGGGCCAACACCTGCGCTGTCCCCAGCAGTATAAAAGGCTGCTCTGGCAAGTAGCTCAGGGCTACTCACTCCCAGGAGTTTCTGGGGCCTGGCCAATTGGTCCCTGGGGACACTACCGCTTGTGCCAGCTGGACTGCTGAAGCAGCCCTGAGAGTTCCCTGCTCCCTCTACTCACTGCAGCAGTCTAGCAGTGGGGGCTGCTGCCTGGCTGTGACCTATTGCTACCTGCAACAGCACGTGGCCCTAAGGCTGCACTCCTGCCAGACCCAGATGGGGACTGCATGGACATTAGAGGCATCTGGGCCAGCTGCAGTGGGCTGTGGCAGCTGTGTGGCACTACTGCCATGTGTGCCACTGCTTGGCCACCTGGGCACCTATCGCCCGGAAGATGTTCTTAGTGTGGTGGCCTGCTTTGGACTATTAAAGCAAGTCCTCGTGGCCCCAAGTGGCCAGGAGGTCAGCCACCTCCAGCTGGGTCCTGGGTGCAAGCTCTGAGCAGGCTCCTCTGCCTGGGTCCTGCCACTTGCCACACTGTCAGGAATTCAAGTGTTCCCTATTTAAAAAACTGCAAAATCCCTGATAAAAAAAATCCCAAAGTCAGTCTTTAAGATACCCCAAAATCCATGTTCTTCTGCAAGTAAAACAAAAGTCCACTAGACATTGTGTGTGTGCATGTGTGTGTACACACATACACACACACACACACACATATATATATATAGAGAGAGAGAGAGAGAGAGAGAGAGAGAGATCAATCAAATCAGTTAGGCAATGTTTTATTGATATATTTACAATTTTAAAGCAATTTGGAAGCCTACCCTTGCCTCTATCATCATAATAAAATCAATTCTAAATATCTATACAGTTTGGCATTGTTTTTTGGCTTTTTTGTCATAGAAAAATCAGAGCTGCCCCTACCCCCTTTGCTCACCAGAATGTGCAGCGCTGAGTAGCACTGATATGCCAGTGCCCTTCCCCTGCCCTAGCCCCACACTCGTAACCCACAGCCTGCCCCCCCACCCCAGTCCCCTCACTCCTGACCCACAGGGTCAGATATGTGGGTGAGGGGTCTGTGGGGGTGGTTTGGGTGGATTGTGGGGATATGTGGATTGTAGGGGGACATATAGGGGGGCTGATCAGGAGGGTCCCCTGCCCCCCACAGGGTGAAGCCCCCACGCAGCTCATGGGCTGCATCCGCCCCGGGCCACAGTCCCC